AGCCTTTGTTTGACAGATTTTTTTTTTTTGAAAGAATGAGTTTTTTAATAGCAAATTTTTGGAGAATGTGTGATTAAAAATAATGAAAAAGTTTTGAGTTTACGTGAAAAATATTTTATTATGAGAACGTCTGGTTAAAAATAAGTGAGAAAAAAAAAGAGTTTTAAAAGAATGATTAGCAAACAGGGCATACATAAGATTAGATGTTAAAAAAAAGTTTGAGATATGGGCCATATATATTGTAGTTTGGATCAACCTTTTTGGCGCAACCCAACCAATTGAAATCTAACTAAAATCATGGAAAATTGATAGGCACTGCTGCAGAGTTTGTTTTCTACGGTTGCATTGGAGTATAAAAAGTTATTTACAACGCAAGTGTGAACGTCGCATAAAGTCATGCCATAAACAGTAGAGTTTGGGGACTGTGTATGAGAATTTCCTTTAGAAAAAATAAAGAACTCCCTATTCCGCGACTTTACCTTATAGCAGTTGATGGAAAGGACGAACAAGTTTTTCATTGCCGCGTCAGTGAAGATGAAAACCGAGAAGATTTTGTGAATATAAACATCATTCGACAGAGTGAACGAAATCTGCAACTGTGTGTTTGTGTGTGTGTCACGTAATAATGTTTCCCAAAGCATTTTTTTTACTATTTTGTCACTGTTTCTAGAAGCTCCAGTCGATATACAATATTTATTTACTAATTTTTAAATATCACATTCACCCATTTTTATTGTACTATTGGTAAAGTGTTGACTATTTAATTTTTGACAATTAAAATATATTTTCATTATTATTTTTAAATAGCTACAAATCTTTAAAGATCCTCTTATAATATTGATTTCTAAGAAATAGGAATAATATAATATAATATATTATCCAAGTATATGTATAAAAAGTTACGGTGGTTATAAAACAATAATGATATAAGCACAAACTTCTCCATCAATATTTTTATCCCCAAACTCTACTGTTTACAAAAATAAGTTTAATTATCTATATTTCACGTAGACATATATATATAGATTAATGACTTTAATCTATTTGTACCGATTGTACTCGATATATTGTCTTCAGAAGAGAAGATGATGCGGTTAGGGCTCGGAAACTATTTTTGAACATGTTTAGGACCCGTTTGACATGTGTGTTCCTGAGCTTTTAGAAAAAAGTTACATTAATTTTTGTTTGGAAACTAATTTTTAAAAACTCTCTATTTTGGATGTACTTTCAGAAGAAGATACATTTGACCAACTTTCTCTAAAAACTCTTCTAACTAGAACAATGACTTTTATAAATTAGTTAAACGGGTCCAAAATGAGCTTTTGATTTGACTTTTCAAAAGTCATGCCAAACGTGCCCTTAGATAATTTTGTGGTAGTGTTTTTGGGATGACAACGGGACAGGTATGGACAGGTCGGTCATTCCTATCCCCATCCCGTCGGGTATTTTTGTCACATTGCCTCATCCACATACCCGGTTAAAGCGGGTCTCAACAGGATCATGGCCCTGTCCCCATTTATCGCCACATTTCTTTTTATTATTATTATTTTTTTTTTGCTTTTATTTTTTTATATCTTTAATTAGTAAATATTATTACCTTTTTTTTTTTCAATTTGTTAAAAACAATTTATATTCTCTTTAAAAATGATGGGCGCGGGTAGCGGAGCGGTGATATACATCTCGTACCCCCATTCGGAGCAATAACCCCGTCCCCGTTCCGTTTACCCGGTTAGACGGGTAATCCCCGCACCAATTGGGACGGAGCCCATGGATATCGGATTAAACGGGTTTTTTTGTCATTCCTAAGTGTCTTGTCTCGTTAAAAAAAACTTTTAAAAGAAAGTTTAAAATAACTTCCTCATATCCCGCCAAACACAAGTTGACACTTGAATAAAATAATTAATTAACACAAGTTGACTGTTAAAAATTGCCTTTTCAAATCTAGATCTTTAGAGAAAGTCATCATCGCAAAATTTTATAAATAACACAAGTTGACCGTTAAAAATTGCCTTTTCAAATCTAGATCTTTAGAGAAAGTCATCATCACAAAAGTTTATAAATTCACTATCTACTTCAGAGAGAAATCAAACAATTCATGTAGCTTCCATGAATTTGATGGAACATAATCAAACCCACATTAAAGTTTTTCTCATCTTAATTTCCTTATTTGGTCTATTCACTTGCACTACATGTAGTACACAGGTAAACTAAAATTTTATTCTGTCACTCCACTGGGTATCAAACATGTATTAATTCTGTTTCGACGGTTTTGAATTTTGATTGTACAGTGGTATCATGAAGAGAAGTATCCCTCTCCAGGAGACTGGTTAAACCACGGGGGTAACATATACAACCGAAGATATGCTGAAGGCGAAACCAAGATTAGCCCGTCTACTGCTCCTAAGTTGCGTCTCAAGTGGGAGTTCTACGCAGGGGACGATGTATCAGCAACACCAGCAATCTACAAAGGGATAGTCTATTTCCCTAGCTGGAATGGCTATCTTTATGCAGTAAAAGCTTCTGATGGCTCTCTTGTGTGGAAAAAGAATCTGCAAAAGCTAACTGGACTTAAGTCGACCTTACCGACAATTCTAAATATAACTTCAGCAGCACTTTTGTCTAGATGTTGAGGTAGCTATCGACTGCTACTTATGCTAATTGTTGGGATCTATGGACCGGCTTATGTTATTGCTGTTAAGCGTGCAACGGGAAACATTATTTGGAAAAAGAAAGTTGATAGCCATCCATATGCTCTTATTACCATGTCTGGAACTTATTACAAAAAGTAAGTTGTATGAAAGTTCACATCGTCTTTGCAGAATTTTCTGATTAGCGATCCGAGTGTTACTATTTTCCATTTTTGATTTCACAGAGGTTTTTATGTTGGAGTATCTTCATTAGAAGAAGCTTCTTCTATTGAGAATTGTTGCACCTTTCGCGGTAGTTTTACCAAATTAGACATCCACACTGGCGCTATTTTGTGGAAAACGTATACACTTCCCAACAACCACGGTAAAAGAGGAGAGTACGCCGGAGGAGCAATTTGGGGAAGCAGCCCTTCAATTGATACATACAGAAACAATGTATATGTTGCCACAGGGAATCTATACTCTGCACCTAAAAGAATTGAAGAATGTCAAGAGAGAGAGAACAATCAGACAACTCCGACTCACCCGGATGCTTGTATTGAGCCCGATAACCATTCAAATTCTATGCTTGCTTTAGATATGGACTCGGGCGAGATCAAGTGGTTTAGGCAGCTTGGAGGATATGATGTATGGTTCCGGGCATGTGCAAATTCATCCACCCCGAATTGCCCTCCTGGACCAAACCTTGATGCGGATTTCGGTGAGGCACCGATGATGCTGAGCGTGTATGTTAACGGCAGTAAACTTGATATTGTCGTGGCTGTGCAGAAAAGTGGATTCGCATGGGCGCTGCGTCGAGATAATGGCGGCCTAGTTTGGTCTACGGTAAAATTTCCATATTGGTCACCAAATTTTGTTCTTTTAACTTTGACTGACATAACATGTATAGTAGTCTAGTTATTTACCATCTAGGCTACTAAACAAATGTTTAATGATGTGTGTCGAATGATACAATTTAACAAAGGGAATCGATGCAGGAGGCTGGTCCGGGAGGTGCTGTTGGAGGAGGCACATGGGGAGCCGCCACTGACAAAATAAGAGTCTATACCAACATTGCCAATGGTAATAAACAAAATTTCACTCTTTTACCATCAAAGAAAGTCACAACTGGTGGAGGTTGGGTTGCAATGGATCCTAGTACAGGCCGAATTTTATGGTCAACCGCTCTACCCCACAATGCCACGACAAATCCCGTGACTATTGCCAATGGCGTCCTCTTTGCCGGTTCGACCTATAAAACCGGACCAGTATATGCCATCAACGCCAAGAATGGTAAAATTCTGTGGTCATATGAGACGGGGACGAGTGTATATGGTGGAATGTCCGTTAGTAAAGGATGCGTATACGTAGGAAATGGATATCAGCCCCCGCTTTACACTTCAGGAACCTCCCTCTTCGCCTTCTGTGTCGACTAAAGCTTGTCGAAAGTAAATTCATCCAGAATTTCTAAAATGTGTAAACTATAAGTGTCATACGAAATAACAACCATCTGGGGTTGAACTTAACTACAATAAAATCAAATAGTCATCTGTTTGAACTTTGAATATCAAACCTGTGACTTTGCACAGGATTATTTGGGGATGTGGTCAACATTATAGAATGTCTATTCAAACAAAGTTCGAATCGTCACTTGTGAAATTTATTAAACAACATTAAACAAGCACACAACAAAGTTGAGGTCAGTTTTTAACTTTACAAAAACAAATGGAGAATTGGTTCGTTGAATGTATTCGTGAGGGGACGTATTGAAAACATAATTTAAACAAACAAACAAATTTATTCCCATGCTTACGATTTAATCTTATATACTGATGATGAAAACATCGTCTGTTTTCATCACTGCAGCTACCAGTTCCGATCTAAGCCTCTCTCATTTTCTCGTTTCTTCTGCGACACAACACGAAATAGTTGAATTGTTTTTTCTTATTTTTTTTAAGTCGATGTGTAGTAGAGAACTTGACTGGCTTCTTTTGTGGTGATTGATTCCAGTTGCACAAAAAGAAATACCATTCATCAGGAGATTGGTTGAACCATGGCAGTGATATATATAACTGTAGGTATGCCGAAGGCGAGTACAAGATTAGCCCTTCGACTGTTTCTTATCTACGTCTCAATTGAAAATTCTATGCTGGGAATAGATCAGCAACACCATAAATATTCAATGGAACAATCTTTTTTCCAAGCTGGAATGGATTTCTATATCCAATAAAAGCAGATGATGGTTCTCTTCTTTGGAAAATGAACGTGGAAGAGCTAAATGGCCTTAAATCTGTTACCGTCAGGCTGGAAACTCCGACTATTGTGGGTGATATGATAATATTCGGGACATGTGGACCGGCTATCATTTTTGCTGTCAAACGAGCAACAGAAGATCTCACTATGTCTGGAACATATTACAAATAATATGCTATCAGCCATTTCCCTTTTATTTTTGGTCTTCTCTTTATATATATATATATCACTAAAAAACTTGATTCAGCAATTTTTATGGTGATTGATTCAGTGTTGACGAAATTTGCAGTCTGCTAGAGAGAAAAGTATACAATGCTCTATGAAAACGATGTTAGCGTGATTTCTAATTAAAAGACGGTTGATAACTTCTGGCATTGACTAAGTTGTCCATTTTAATTATGCTCAATGTTATAAAATAAGCCAATTTGCAATAACCCGGTAATAAAACTTATATCACTTATTATGAATATTAAATTCAAAAAATTTAGCGAGATGAAAAGAATCACACAAGAACACAAGATTTAACGTGGAAACCCATGGGCAGAGTCGGAGAATTTATTATAATCAATGGCAAATAAGTACAAAAAGACTTTTGCAAGACACTCAACCTATCTCAAAATATGCGAGTCTCTCTCTATAAATTAAAATTTCTCACTTTGATGTTCTCTCAATGCTATACAATATTTTGCTATGTTACCTTATCCAACTCCATACTCTCCTACTTACAAGAAACACTCCAACAAAATGCAATGACCAAAAGAAACTAGGACTGGAAATAACAGTCCTATAACTGTAATGAATAAATCACGAGAATAATCTCAGTGATGGATTCTATACTCACAAAGTAACAGAAATACTGATGATCAAATGCATAATTAGAAAGGGTGAAATGTCAAGAAGAATTATAAACCATAAACCACCCAAACAGAAAGAATGAAGCTGCAGAATAAAACCAGGACATTGCAAAAGAAAAAAGAAATCGAAGATAAATTAGTATATGTGTCAAACACAACTGGGCATGTGAAATTTATCTCAATCGTCAGATTTTGAGAGCCAACCACAATAAATTCCAGAATCTCCTTCATGGTAGATTAATAATCAGGAAAAATCACAAGTCAAAAGAGACCGATGTATATCACAGAAAATTCAAGCAACATTTGTTTTACCATGATCAATAGGCATTGCATGCCAGATAATTCGCAAGGATTAACAAAAGATAGGGTTACTTTTAAAATTATGAGCTGAAACCAGGCACAAATTTTGAGCAATGCTATGAGTACTGGAAAAGTATCCACATGAGCCAGACATAATACACACAAACAGGTGGGCCTTGGTTTTTTTGCCAATATATTCACAGGGGGCTTGTCTCCCATGTGAGTGGAATTCAAATTCATGTACAAATTCTGCTTTTTTTCCCGTACCTGCAGCTTTTTGCTTTTTATCTCAAAGCAACCAGAAAGACAATCATAGAACTGTAGACGATAATATGAAATAATAGACTAGCCAACGGGATTCTTACTTTAAATAAACTAGACTTGCGAGACTTTTTTCCAAAGAGTACAGTCTTGCTCCACTTTCCAGGAGATTTCCCCCATTGCTACAGGCCACTTCTAGAAACAGCCGTCTCTCAATTGAAATCCTGCATTACTTCCAAAGATTAAGCCTTTGATAAACAGTTGCAAATTGCAACTTTAATATGTATATTGAATTATAAAATCACCCTTACACAGAAGAGAAAAGGCAAAAAAAAAATAAAAATGATTGGCCATTCTGATTTTAATTGCCTGTCAAAAATCACATTGCTTAGAAAAGACTACTGCATAACATAAACAAACCAAGTACCGAAGTAGAGAGCAAAAAGGCGGAAAATGCTTCGAAGATGTTCGGTTTGTGATGCAATTTAGTAATCTTCTCTTACCTTACAATTAGCTAATTTATAATCATTGAAAAAAAACACACACACACACACAAAATTTTGAGCTCCAGCTAATCCACTCACTACTTCAAAGAGGTGAAATATTCACTATATCTTTACATAGAAAGAAATTTTAAAAATAATTTATTTATAACTAGCTAAAATAAGCAGTTTTAGTAAAATTTATTTACGAGTAACCTAAAAAACACAAACAGAAGTGTGGGTTGTGGTTCTTAAAACCCGTTTTCATAAGTGAAAGAGCGTTTTTGCTTAGTCAGTCCACTTGGCGTGATTTTATTGGCCTATTTGACACCACCCAGATCTGTTTTTGTTGAGACTTACCTGGGCCGTGGAATTTGATCGGGTTTAATGATATAAACCTCCTATGGCTACTGTACCGTCACTTTTTCACTGCCTTTGATATGGTTTTCATTCATGTTCTCTCTGTGAGGTGACTTTGAGGGTTTCCATTCAATTCTTGAGTTGTAATTAGTTTGCTGGTTTGTATTGTTGGGTCAGGTCTGAGCCTTGATTATTGAGGGTTTATAGTGGTTGTGATTTTGTATAGATTAGGCTGATTTGGGAGATCCATTTGTGGATCAATGATCATTTAGAAGTGGTACCTTTTCTGAGTCTTGGTTGTACAGACTTGTATCATTCTCTCTTGAAGGTTCTTGCATAATGACGGACTCGATTTACCTCCGAGTCCCCAGATTAGGCTTGGCCGAACTGGATGAACAATCTCTTGTGTTATTTTCATTTCTGCAATGTGTGTTCTTGGGCATGTAAATCTGTTTGTGTGACATTTGGGTGAAATCAATCCCAACAATAAGTACCCACGCAAGATCTGCCCAAAACCCATCAGATAAAGCGTGGGCAGAACAGTTCCACTTTCTGCTTGCTGAAGCTCGCTTTCTCCGCCGGCTCTATCTTATGTAGTGTGGTGGCCTACTAGAGTATATGTGCAATTAAAAAAAAAAAAGAAGAAGAAGAAGTGGGATTTTGGGCAATGTGGCTTAAATCTGAGATTTTCTACACCTGGCACACAATTCCATAAAGGGAAAATTTTGGACGAAATGGGACGAATTGGAAACTCATATATAGTTAGTTGGATAGGAAAGAGTTCAAAAAGAAAAAAAAGTAACAGGCACGAAATTTCAGGCAAAACATAGTGATAGAGAAAGAAAGCAAATAAGCATCGGAGGCCCCTAGCCCCCTACCTTGAAGTACTTTGATGCACTCATGGCAAGGAGAATGGAACCCTCCTCACTCACTCCACCACTCTGGTTTCTGTATTTTTTTCTCTCCAATGTAATATACATACATTCATACAGCCAACTTTTAAGTGGGTTAGTTATTAGTATTCAGTAATGACAAAAATTGACAGAATTTTTACAGAATAACACTGGCCAATTTTTCATTGGTTTTGAACCCAATAATGGCAGAAAATGCACAATAATGCAGCACTTGTGAGGTTTATGTGAATAATTCCCTGTAAGTATTTGAGAATTCAGGAAACTAAACGTGGCATTTAAACCGATTGTCTGAAAAAAAATACTTCAATAAATTATGGAGGTACATCATGCATTACCGAATAGAACACCGTCTCTCCAACACATTCCAGCCCATTTTAGTGAAGGGGTGTGCTTGGACTCGATGGCTGCTCGTGTGAGAGATGCTTGAGTGAATGACCAACACGTGTGCGTAGAGTGTTCCTCGCAGCTTGTGCGATAATGTAGTAAGTGCTTGAATCATGATAGTTGTTGCATAGCAAACTCCGATGACCTATTTCGGTCCCTTGCCAACACAAATTTCTTGTCGATATGAGATGATTGAACTTCAGTTGGTTAAAAATTATTTAAAGTATGAACAAAAATCCTACCACTTTTCTCTAAGTCACATTGAGTCATCGACTAGATCATCAAATTTTAAGTTGATCCGACATCGATTGCAAGTTTCAACACTAGCCATAAACAATGTGTTACGATCAAATTCCCAAACAACGTTGATTGTTGAGAAGACAACAATAGCTAACCATCATACGGTCCACTACCATTCAATCTTGTCTCCTAAGCTCCTATTTGAGCCCAATTTTTTTCAAAACTCATTTTCTCGTAAAATAATTTTACACGTAAATTCAAATTTTTTTCTACTTTTTAACTGCGCAATCTTTAGAAAAATACTATTCCAAAACACATTTCTTCCCAAAAAATGGGACTCAAACAAGGGGTAAATATTACTGAAATAAAATAAGTAAATATATGACACACATGTTCAGTGTTTTTTTGTAAGAGATTATTTTAAGTGAAATATTATTTCTGTGAAGAAATGTGCACTTAAAAATAAATTTGCGAACAAATAATTTATAAATAAACTATGCCAAACTGGTTATACTCTAATAATTTGAAGTTTTATTCGAATTCGACATGGAGTAAAATGTAGGGATTGTAGTTGAAATATACAGTTACAATGTAATAAGTCGTTAGCAAGCAATATATAATCAAACACCAGACATTTTCTGATACAACTGCACGCCTATCAGTCATTTTTCTGTCCAATTGCCGATTGATCGAACCACTGAGACCTATGTATCAATCTCAGCCTTGTACGAGATTTTTCTTCAAAATCATTTTCAATCACACATTTGAACACAAGTGCAAAATGATGTATCATACAGGCGGACTGAGCGCTGAAACAGCCATGTACATAATACACGCTTCAACATTAGATGATGTCTCAAAATTCCAGCTCCTGGTGTAAAACAACCGTCACAAAGTATCTAGACATGCCTAGAGGGAAAAGAAATGAACATCTGAAATTTATTAAGAGAGAAATGGCGAAAAAATAAAGTTCCAAGTTCCATCCACTTTCACGCAATCGGATACAATATATCATTATGTACATACACTGCCACGCAAGAGAACACGACAAATTTCGATGAAGACACGGGGGAGTCTATGGGAACAACCACGACATAATCTTCTTAAAAATGTTTTCCCAACAACATCACTCGCTAATGTAGCAATGTTACAAAAAAAAAGCATTTGACCAAAAAACAATCCTACAAAGGAGAAAGGATCCTGTAACATCAATCTTAGCTCTAACAATTGCAATAACTATTACACAACTCTAATATTTCTCTCCTGCTTCATCTTTATCTCGACCGCCACAGCCTTCAACATCACCAGGCTCCTCGGAAGATTCCCGAAATTCAGCAACTTTAGATGTTTTTTCTTCTCCATTATTTTTGCTGCTACCATTTTGCTATTTTCGAAAAATTGTATTAGAAAATTTCATAAGACTTCATCCGGCTTAAAACTTAAAATTGAAATTTGTGTGAGTTTTGTGGTGGGGGAAAGAAGATTGGAACTTGGGTGTTGCACTATTACGGTGGTCGGCGAATTTATATTTAGGAAGAGCAAGAGAATTGATTTCCATTTGGATCCAACCCTTGATTTCTTTTAATTTTTGGAGCCCTTGCAAGATATCTGTTCTTGAGAAATTCTTGACTGGGTTTTGCATGCAATTTAATATTTTTGGGTTTTGAGGCTTTTCGATAGATTTGGTGAGTATTCTAATTGCATTTGGTTGATTTTAGTGGATGCTCTTGATTTAGTATGTTCTACTGTGGTTTTGGTTGTGTTTTCGTGAGCCATCTATTTTAGTTTGAAGGGATGTTATAATTTTTTATAGTTTGGGATTTTGTTGAAACCTTGAGGTTATTCATAGAGAAATTTGTGGGTTGATTAATCTAGGAATTCAGTTGAGAAAGAAAGTGGTGCTTATAAATTTATAGTTGTTGGTTATTGGATTCTGAGTGTGTTTCTTAGAGAAGTTATAATGCATACTTTTGTTGATTGATGGTATCATATTCCATTTTAAGCAAGGATTCTTAGGTAGATTGATGGTATCATATTCCATTTTAAGTTAAATTTTATTTTGGTCACTTTAAAAAAAAAAAAAAAATTCGTCACTTTTGAGTGTCTGTCACTTTATTTTTTAATTTGTGTCACTTTTTAAAAAAAATTTCGTCACTTTTTTTAGTCTCTCACTTTTTCAGTGTCACTTTTTTTTTTTTACGGTCACTTTTTCTATTAAAAAAATGACAACTAATTTTACACAATATTTTTTACCTCCAAAATTTGTTTCATATGATTTTCCAAAAGACCCTTAATTTTAAGGATATTTTTGTAAGTTGCCCTCTCTTTTTTGTTGAATTTGAACAATTATTTAAAGTTTGAAACAATTTGAAATCTCATATTTTTAACTTATATAATGAAATCTTTCTGAAAAATAATGTATAAATAAGTTTAAAGCCTTTGTTTGACAGATTTTTTTTATTTTTTTTTTGAAAGAATGAGTTTTTTAATAGCAATTTTTTGGAGAATGTGTGATTAAAAAGAATGAAAAAGTTTTGGGTTTACTAGAAAAATATTTTGTTATGAGAACATATGGTTAAAAATAAGTGAGAAAAAAATAGTTTTAAAAAAATGATTACCAAACAAGGCTTACATAAGACTGATGTAAAAAAAAAAAAATTGAGATATGGGCCATATATATTGTAGTTTGGATCAACCTTTTTGGCCCAACCCAACCAATTGAAATCTAACTAAAATCATGGAAAATTGATAGGCACTACAACTGCGTTTGTTTTCTACAATTGCATTGGAGTATAAAAAGTTATTTACAACGCACATGTGAACGTCGCATAAAGTCATACCATAAATGTTAACCTATGCTTGTCGTAAAATGATATATATAAATTAGATTGTATGCATTGGTTGTCATTATCGCCAGATCAATTATCAAGTTATTCGCTTGACTTGGATCAAACACGAGGTACGTCTCCAAACTAGAATCACTTTTCTTGCTTGAGAAATGTTCATCCTGTGATTTTTTATTTTTCCAATTTTTACATATAAATTTTGAATTTTTACTTTTAAAATTTAGATGTTACTTTTAAATTTATCTGGATAATTTTTTAAAAGTATTTTGTTTAGTTTTTTTTTGAAAATTAAATTACATTGTTTTTTTAAAAAACTCTTTACAAAATCAAAAACAAAAACAGTAGCTCTACCAAATGGGCCTATTCAAGTATATACTAGTGCTATTTAATAGGCCCAACCCAATTGCTAGGTCTACTCAAGATAATATATCATTATTTTCTAGAACACTAATATCCAAATTAATTATTTTAGCAATACTTATTTTAAAGCCAGTATCTAGATTTCTACTTCAATTTTTATTTTTTATATTTCCTATGGTGATGCCAGTTAAGGGGAATTTGATACATTGAAGGAATCAATTTAAATAGAAAAAAAAAAAAAAAATACATGTTCGAGGACAAGTCAACTCTCTAGTGACGCTCCAATAATTGCATAATTTAGAAGACAATCTCAAAATTTGTAGCATATAATCCTTCATTGGTTAAGTTTCGAAAATGCATTCTCACAATAATTTAAGAGATATACCCGTGGTTAGGCTCCATTAAAATTAAATTTTAAAGAAAAATTGGTTCTGGAATTGTGATTTTTTTGAAGAATGTGTAATTTAAAAAAAAGAATAAGTTTTTGATTTATGTGAAAATAAGAAAGATAAAAATGCATTTTTATAAAAATAGAGCCCAATAAGTTTAATTATCTATATTTTACGTAGTGTACTCAAAAGTACTAGTTGGATACTTCCCTTATATACATATATATGGATTAATAACTTTAATCTATTTTTATCGATTGCATGACGCACCCTACTCGATTTATTGTCTTCAGAAGAGAAGATGATGGGGTTAGGGCTCGAAAACTATTTTTGAACATGTTTAGGACTCGTTTGACATGTTTTTGCTGAGCTTTTAAAAAAAGTTACATTAATTTTTGTTTGGAAACTAATTTTTAAAAACTCTTCCTATTTTGGAAGTAAATTAGAAGAATATACATTTGACCAACTTTCTCTAAAAACTCTTCTAACTAAAAGAATGACTTTTATAAATTAGATAAACGGGTCCAAAATGAGCTTTTGAAAAGTCATGTCAAACGAGCCATGAGATAATTTTGTGGTAGTGTTTTTGGAATAACAACGGGACGGGTATGAACAGGTCGATCATTCCTACCCCGTCATGTCGGGTATTTTTGTCACATTGCCTCATCCCCGTAGCCGGTTAAAGTAGGTCTCCACGGGATCATGGCCCTGCCCCCATTTATCGCCCCCTTTTTTTTTTTGCTTTTTTTTTTTATATATCTTTAATTAGTAAATATTATTACTATTTTTTTTAAATTTATTAAAAACAATTTATATTCGCTTTAAAAATGATGGGCACAGGTAACAGCATGGTGACTATGCTTCTCGTATCCAATTCGGGGCAATAACCCGTCCCTGTTCTCATTTCGTTTATCCGATTAGGCGGGTAATCCTAGCACCAATTGAGACAGAGCCCATGGGTATCGGATTAAGCGGGTTTTTTTCTCATTCATAAGAGTCTTGTTCCCTTAAAAAAAACTTCTAAAAGAAAGTTTAAAGTAACTTCCACATATCCCGCCAAACACAAGTTGACCGTTAAAAATTGTTGAAAGATAAAAAGGACAAAAAAGTTAGGTTAAACAACGTTGAATATCATTATTCAGGAAATATCCAAAGTGTAAGGGACGAAAAATTTCATAAAAAGTTAGAACTGGTAAAACATCAAGCAAGTAAATTTAACAAGTAACTGATAGATAGTTATTTTTATCTAAATACCTCCCGATCCCGTGTTTGTGCATACTGCAATCACAAGAAACTTCTTGGAAAGAAAAGAGTGCATATAACAATGAGGAAAGTTAAAAGGAATCGAACACAAACAAGTAAAAGACTTCTCGGTTTCCTAAAAGTTGTTATCAGGTTCAGTCAAGGGAAACTTAAATTGTAACTTAAAGCACGTCTCTTAATGGGTCCAAATTTACATGCACATGTACGAAAGCATATACCAAAATAAGCAACGAAAACATGATCCAGCAAAAACGCATTAAAAATATAACATATGAAATACGAATTGTATCTTTACGAATTCTCCAATAACTTCCTGAGACCTACTCAATATTTAATGAGAAATTATAACTCTTCAAAGTATCTTTCGGAATTTTCACACAATATCTTTTGTCGGGGTTATTACTTTTGAAAATCACAATAAAGCAAGGTTCTCAAATGCGTAATGCGTAGCAATGCATTTTGATAGAGCATCAAGCATTATAAAAATATGCATGCGTATGCTTAATAAATAAAAGAATGCATCCTTTAAACTTCATATATATTCTTCAAAATTAAAAAAAAAATGCTCAAAATCATAAATACTATAATTACTTGAACTTTATACATATTCTTCAAATTTTTAACAAAAACATAATGTTTAAAATCATAAATACTATAATTACTTGAACTTTATACATATTCTTTAAATTTTTAACAAAAACATAATGTTTAAAATCATAAATACTACAATTACTTGATAATCAATTTCTACGATTAGATTAGATACGAAGAAGGATCAAAGAGGAAAGAAGCTCGAGCTCGACGTAGATAGTTTGCAATTCTACGAAAAAATTGTCTTTTTTTTTTAAACATCACAACCCTACAAATTGCTTTATATAATTCATGGTCTTGGATAATTTAGATTAATTTGATGTTTGTTGGGGACAATCTGTTTTTTTTTTTTTTTAAGTTATAAAAGTGGGTTGAGGCTTGATAAAAAAAAAATTGAAAACAAATGCGTGCACATTTTGGCGTTTAAGCGTGTATATGTGGTCAACGTAATGAGATGACCGCATTATCACGTGCATACTTCATGTGAGGCGTTTCGAAAAGGCATCTAGCATATGCGCGCATTTTAAAATGCTGCAATAAAGTTAAATGATGTTCTATTGTTATAATTGTCTTTAGTTTAACAAGAGAGAAGGAAAAATAGCATAAAACCTCATCACACCTGGATAGAAGTAAGTATTGCAGCTACGTCATATATCGGACTCCACTGATTTTGCAGAATATCCAAGCAAATACTTCCATCAGCATAAACTGGTTGATAACAAAACAAAAACATGAGAGCATGACAACGTGACAATCTCTCCACATTATAGTAGATTCAAGGAGAGAAAGGAAGGCTACATAAAAGAATGAATTAACTCCGTAGATAAAAAGATGAATCAACTGGTACAAAAAAAGGAGCGTAAACATCAATTGGGTCTAATATAAAACAACTGAAAAAGGCAAAACCCATAGCCTACAGCGGTGTCTGATTTTCAAATTTTTCCTCATTGTAAGCTTGTCTATACCTAAATAAAATTTTAAAAAGATGTGATACCTTTTTTACATCAAAAACAGAGAGTTAATGAACTGGTTAGTTGTGGTAGCCTTCAGTATCACCAAAATAGATCAAAAAAGGGTACATAATAAAACACAAATAATCGCACGACCAATCAAGCACTGTACATTTGTACACAAATCAAAATTCTCTTAAGATCCCAAAGTATGGAATTGGGATAATGTGCTGATGCAGTAACTTTACTTTTTGTAAGGATATTGAAAAAGATTGCCACTACAAGATGCATTGATGAATAAGTATGCTAAAGTGTTCAAACAAGCAATGCACATCAAAAGCAAACAGCTCAAAACAATGTAAAACCAACAACAAATATTTCCACTGCCACAGTGAAAGAGACAGAAGAGATGGTAACTTGGTAAAAGTTCATTAGGTGGGACTAAACTTTCGTATATGCACACTACAAAGTATAACCTAGGATTAAGGTTTTCTTCAGAAACAAGGTATAGATTACTGGTTAAAGGAATATTGACTCGGGACATGAAACAAGGTTTGTTCTTGATAGGTTTGATCGGCCTGGCCCCGGGTGTTGGATCGAATGAACACTCAACCGCATAATGGACATTAAATATTATAAGTACTAATTAGCAGAGGGTTGATGCATAAAAAATCTATATCAATCTTTATACAAATTAGATTTGAGAAGTAAATCATACAATTTGTCCAAGAAATACCCAAATGTCAAGCAAAATGACTTGAGGATGCATGTAAAACTCATAAATAAAATTGATTCAATTCAAGGAACCACGTCAATTGAAGTAACTACATTGTAAAGTCCTTGCGTTGCCATCTAACCTGTTCGCCTAGGAATCATGAACAGACGCTAGCAGACCCAAGGGGCCCAACTTTTGAGATTTTTTTTCTTTTTTTATTTGAACGTATCAATTGAAATCTAAATTTTAATCTAAATCAAAGTTAACAATTAATTTTAACAACACATTTCATGGAATCAATAACTATTCAACTTTTATCAAAATTTAATAAAAATCTGATTTTAATCCCCACCATATAGGGCAAAATCACAATAAATTTGAATTTTCTCTTTCTCTCGCTCTTTTCTACTCTCGCTCTCTTACGCCTTTTATCAAAACTTTAACCCTTCTAAGTTTTTAAAATTTGCGAAAATTTATCTAAAAATTATCACATCTATTATAATTCTTCACTTTCAAATCAAATTTTCAACTAATTAAACCTAAATTTGCATTTTCTCTTATCAAATTGTGTATATAGAATGTGTGAACGGATTATATTCAATTTGACTTATATTTATCGAATTGTGTTTATTTGATTGATTATTAGTATTGAATATTGGTTATACGTTTTTCATTTCGAGTACTTAAACTGATTGTTTGTATCATATACACAATAAATTTTTTAAACGTAAATATGGATTTTCTTGTGATGAGCAAAATATTAGTAAAATGACTATTCAAAATCAAATGTATGAAAATGATGAGCAAATTATTAATGAAGAAATGCTTTTTAAACGTAAATCCGTACTTTCTCGGGTCAAGTATGAATCATTCAAAATTAAGAACGAAGTATTCGATTTGTACAAGGTTTGATTGTGCACCCCTAACTCAAAATGTCTACGTTCGCCCCTGACCTGAGATTCTTAATTCTTACAATACAGAAAGGATTATAGAGAGAACTATTATGCAGATAAAAGCAGGACTAAGTTCTTGCTTTATTTCAGTTAACATACAATGCTATTTTTCATTGTTCTATAGTTCCCTAGAGTTTACAAAGGCATGCATTACTACATGAGTTGTCACAGGAAAATTCTCTCCTTTTTATTTTGCTAAATCTACAGATCTGCACAGTTAGGATTGGCCACGTGATTCATGCAAACATTCCAAAGCAAGTGAAGACAGGACAAAAGTTCTCAGCCATATAGGCATAAAAATCGTTTGCTGTGATCATGAAAGCAAGTAAAAGTAAAATATTTAAGTTACTTACTGTTTGGATGAAACATTCTAGATATAAACCGCACCGTTGGCGGCTTATTTGGGTAATCTTCCAAAAATTGAAGAGTCAACTTAAACGTCCCTGAAAGCAAACAATAATATTATCAATCAAAAAAAATAGGCTTCAGAAAACTCAGAAGAATAACACTTTTGCATGCGATGAGATGCATTCAGAGAAAATCATTATATCCAGAAAATCAATCTTCGGAGTTAGCTTCCATATGAACCTTCCTGAACAAATCAGAAGGCCCATTGAATTGAACTTTCCTTATTGGTCAGGAGCAATTCGGCTGATAAAAAAACGACCACGAAAGCGTGCAGATGCACTATTCCTTGGTGGGAACTTGATCATTTCGTCCAAGCAGATGATTTCCTCTAAACTTTTGTAGAATACTTCTTTTGATCGTACACGAGATATTGGTAACAAGGAAAGACGAAAATAGATTTGTATTCAATAAGATAAATATAAGAAGAAAAAGCATTGCTAGTCCATGCGATCACAGTTCAGAAATTGAAAGATTCTGAATTCGATTAGGTTCTCTTCATCTACGCAACACTCTACCCTTGGTTGTTATGAGAATCAAATAGGGAACGGACAGTGACACCTCACAGAAGTCAACTAGTCTTGACTAAATCTAACCTTAGATTAACCCGTTAGTAGTGTATTTGGACGGTTCCACCAGGTTCATTTATAAGAACAACAGTTATTTCATCACGTGCAATTACAATTAACGTGGCATCCAGTTAAGACCCTTCATTCCAATGTAGAGTGGCAGAAAAATCATATTGATGACAGATAGAATGCATGTCAAGATCCATTTAAATTAATACACTCAAGTCTACATAGCAAGAAACCTAACCTGAAGTCCAATTCCTTAATTAGCTTAGACATTGGGATAACTATTACACACAACTTCAAGATTGACAATATAACAATGACAACATGAAGTATATATAAAGAAAAAAATCCTGATAACAAATTAATGATCGCAGAAATGTATTTTCTCGTGCAAGAATATTCTCACCTCCATCCCAAGGAGTGTCATCTGGGCTGCAATTTGAAAAAAAAAAAAAAAACAAGGGCAACCAGTAAAAATCAAAACTTGAACCATCACCAGTGGCACTCAAAATTAAAAATAAAATAAAAAACCGCAGGCACATACCCAAATATAATAGCATTCCATAGCATAATGTTATTATCACAAGGTGCGCCACTGATGCCAGCCGGAGGATCCTGCTGCAACCGCTTGAAATCTCTCATCAATCGCTTCCTCGCCGGTGTCGACATCCTTACACCCCACAAACAACACCAATTAAATTCCTCCTTCTCCCTACCCGATAAACAATCTTGAAAACAAAATTAAACCCTAGATCCATAAACTCTAGTCATAAATACAAGCCATACACACAAGTCAATCAACTGGGGTTACATAATATACATATCACGAAAAGATCGACCGGCAAGACAGAGTAACTTACCTAAGATTGAGTGCGGAAAATTTCTCCCAAAATTGGAAAAAGAAAAGTATACTTCGGGTGATTGGCCTCCTGAGGACTCTACTTTCGTATGCTGTCGGCCTCTATATACGAATTCGAGATTTTGAGTTCGCGTGAAGTATAAGCTGACTGCTGACGGTTGTTATTTTCTTTTTTATGCGACATATAAGTATTATTTGACGTGGAAATATATGATTCGGCTAAGGATTCGAGAAAATTACGGTTCGATTCATCAACTTTTTATAGCGTAGTTATAGATCTTCAACTTTCAAAATAAAGTTCTAGGTTCACGATTATGAATGAATCTGAACCCTCGCCGTGATTGTTGAAGTTTTGATTTTTAAATTTATCACTTGGGCTCTATTAAAAATATATTTTGAAAAAATATATATATTTTAAAATAATGATTTTTTGAAAAATGTGTGTTTAATTAATAGAGAAAATTTTCGAATTTACATGTAATATTATTTTATTAGAGTGTGTGTGGTTGAAAACAAGATTCTTGTGTTTTTTCAAATTTAAAGGATGAACCACATTTTTGGCGGCACCCACCTGACCTGCCCTGCCCTGGGCCTTGGTGAATGAGGTAAATCGTAGGTTATGCCTCCAAGAGTACAGAGTGGAAGGCTACTTGTACACTTGCACTTAGCCAATGGCTAAATCCGTATTTCAGGATTCAAATCCTTGACGCGGCAGTCTCAAGTAAAGCTGGAGTTTTACCACATTCCCCTTTTACCACTTGGAGATGTGCCTTGGGGGCTTGTGTTTTTGTGTTTTTCAAATTTAGCTCCTGTGTGGTATGGATTAAAGTTTAAATTTTAATTTAAATTAAAATTAACAACTAATTTTAATCACATATTTCATGGGATCCACAATTTTTAACTTTTCATCAGTTTTTCTCAAAATTTACTAAAAATTCGATTTCAATCCCCACCAAACTGGGCTTAAGTTGAATCGTGGACTCATAATATTGAAAATCAATTAAAATAAAATGTTTTCATGCAGAGTTTAAAAATGAGACATTGTATTAAGTAGGTGTTTGGTATGGATTAAAATTAGAATTTTAGTATATTGTGATCGAAGTTTTTTGAAATGTATGGTTGAAAAGTTGTGGGACCCATGAAATTTATAATTAATATTGATTATTTGACTTTAACTTATATTAAAATCTGATTAATCAGAAACAAACTCGGCCAAAAAATTTTTAGTACTCCCACACCAAGGCTAATCACAATAAATCCCCTTAACTACGACAATCATCAACCTTACTAGAGTAAGCATCAATTTTCATGAAAGAAATACAATTGATTGAAGTGGGCATGCAAGTCGACGAAGAAGTAGCGACAGCTTTATACGACATTGAGCAGACGTGTAAAAATATTTTAATATAACATAATTGACGATTTGAAATGGTTTCGTAGAGGAAAGAGTGGTATGGTCTTGTCATATGAACGAATAGAATTCTATGTGCACCTTGCAAAGTTTGTTTTTTTTTTTTTTACATAAAGCGGAAAGCGTGGAGCTGTGACGCGAGAACTTAACCGTAGATACATTCCACTCGCGCATTTAGCTTAGGTTTCTTAGCTAGGAACTTGCATTTGTATCGAATGAGAGCATGATACAGGGGATAAGTAATTGTTAGATTAGAAGGGGAGTGTTTGAGTCCTATGCTTCGAAATTTCATAACTACTTATGATAAAATGCCATTAGCTATATAGTCTTTTTTCCCGGTTAAACAATAGATGAAAGAATTGTTTAATTGAATCAATTTAGAAAGTTGAGCTATTAGCTAGGATGAAATTAAGCACTATTTTCTCTGGTTATAAAATTAAAATTTTGATAAAAATCAATGAAATATATAATTGAAAAGTTAATAAAAATTTATAAATTTCATGAAATTGTAGTTAAAGATAAAATTTGAAAAGAAAAAAATGAATTTTAAGAATTGCCCGGCCAAAATAAATTGGGGAAATTGCACAAATACAAGTAAGGAATTTTTGATAAATCATTATAAACAGTATTATTTAGGGTTTTAAGGAAATGCACAAATTATAAAATATCCAACCTACTAGAAACGTTTTCTTTTTAAATCTTTCATTAAATCCAAAATTAAATCAATTTAATTACTTTTTTATTTTTGACAAAATTTAAAAGTAGCTCTTTTTTTATGAAAGTTTTCAAATGCAATTTTTCAATTTTGAATAATGATTTCATCTGCTATTTTTAATTTCATTCTCCTATACTAATTAGAAGTTCATTTTTTCAGATAAATTATCAATATGATCCATTTTGCTAAAAGCTGTTGCAATTTTATTTATGAATTTGAAATTTTTTTTTTAGATGCTTTTTTCCATCAAAGATGAGACAAATATAAGAGAGACTTTTTTTCCCATTTTCCTAATTCTTTCTTCGTCTAAACTTTCGATACATGAAAATCTGACTATGAATTAACAGTGATGAGTTAGTATATATGAAAATTCAAATCTTAATACCATGACTAAAATATATTTGAAAATAACATTATTATCTCGAGAGGAAATTAATTGGATTAATACATATAAAAAATTAACTTTGAGTCAATCCAATTGATACATCCAAGGTATTTGAGAATACGAAAAAGTCGCAATATCTCATTTGAGCAATTAATTAGATGCATACATGTGTATTTTTAAAAATTTAAATATACGAATTCAAACTTTGTATCCAAACATTGCTTTAATCTTGCATTCAAATCATATTTTTTTGAATGAATTCAATTGATACATCCAATGTGTGTGCGAAAATGAGAACGTGAAAAAGTGACATTTGTATAAAGAGTCGCAATATCTCATTGGAGTAATTAATTTAATGCAAACGTGTGTGTTTTTAAAAATTTAAATATACTAATTCAAATATTATTTTAGCTTGATTTCAATTCATATTTATTTGAATCAATACAATTGATGCATCCAAAGTGTTTGTGAAAATGAGAATGTGAAAAAGAAACATTCCGTCACTTTGCTATGAAAAAATCGTAATAACCTATTAGAGCAATTAACTAATTGCTTACGTGTATATTTTTGAAAATTTAAACATATTAATTCAACCCCTTGTTTTAGCCCTCGTTTGAGCACATTTTATCAAAAATTCATTTTTTTCAAAACTCATTTTCACCCTGCATTCTCCAATACAATAGTTTTACACATAAATCAAAAACGTTTTCTTATTTTTAACCATGCAATCTCCAAAAATAAATATTCTAAAACACAATTTTTCCACCAAAATGTGGCTTAAATAAGGGCTTAATATTGAATTCAATTTATATTTCTTTTGATCAATTCAATTGATGCATCAAAGGTGTTTACAAAAATAAGATTGCGAAAAAAATGAAATTTTGTAACTTTTCTATTAAAAGTTACAGTATCTCATTAGAGCAATAAAATAGATGCATACGTGTGTATTTTTTGAAATTTAAATATACGAATTCAAACCTTATTTTAATCTTACACTCACTTCATATTTATTTGAATCAATTCAATTGATACATCCAATGTGTTTGTGAAAATGAGAATGTGAAAAAGTAGCATTCTGTCACTTTTTCTATATAAAAAAAAATCACAATATGTCATTGGAACAATTAACTAGATGCATACGTGTATATTTTTGAAAATTTAAATATACAAATTCAAACATTGTTTTAATCTTGAATTCAATTCATATTTCTTTAAATCAATTCAATAAATGCATCCAAAATGTTTGCGAAAATGAGAATATGAAAAGTAATATGTAGTTACTTTTCTACGAAAACTCGCAGTATCTCATTAAAGGAATTAACTATGTATACGAGTATATTTTTGAAAATTTAAATATACGAATTCAAATCTTATTTTAATCAATTCATATTTATTCGAATCAATTCGATTGATGCATTCAAAGTGTTTGGGAAAATGAGAATGTAAAAAAGTGACATTTTTTTACTTTTCTATGAAAAGTCGTAGTAACCTATTAGAGCAATTAATTAGATGCATACATGTGTATTTTTGAAAATTTAAATATAAAAATTAATTTTTTTTTAATCTTGCATTCAATTCATATTTTTTTTAAATTAATTCAATCGATGCATCCAAAGTGTTTGCGAAAAAAGGAAAGTTAAAAAGTAATGTTCTAACACTTTTCTTTGAAAAAAGTCGTAGTATCTCATGTTGGACAAAATAACAGTAAAGTGCAGAAAAACTTATCAACAGATCGAGCCTCGTGATATCACGATATCCTAAAGCGAAATTGTCCGTCGATAACTGTTGCTACCTCTGTGGACAATTACCTACAGGATACAACGATCAAATAAACCAATTGTGCAGCAATCACAAAAGGTTTTCAGAACTCTCAAGTATACTCCAAAAATGTGTAAAACTAAGAACAATATTTTTACTGTACTGTATAGAAATATATAATGTCGTTTTTCTTGTAATTTTCTAATACCCAAAGGTATGTTTATATACGCAGAAAGAGATGTAACTTCTTCCACCATGATCTAGTATTAAGTTGCAGATGTAATGGCCAGTGGTAATGTGTATTAATACTGGACAGTTAAAACAATCATATTCTACGGCTAGTTGACCCATTAAATAATTCCGAAAATGATTAAAAAAATAATTATTATTTTAGAGGAAATTACACCCAGACTGCTATTTAAGATACCAATTTCACAAATCAGGTCACTGATTTAACTTTTCCAAAATCAGGTTTTTTTTTAATTAAATAAATTAATATAATAAAAGTAATGTTAATTTTATTGGGATTAATTTGGATTTTAAGTGAAAAAGAGGAGGTGTCGGTTTTCTCTCCTCTCAGGCTCTTCTCCTCTCGCCGCTGCCGCTGCTCTTCTCCTCTCCTCCCGCTGCCACCACGTTTCTCCCCCTCCAGTCGATTCTCTATCTTCTCCTCCCACTACCACCACGTTCCTCCCGCTGCCACCACGTTCATCCCCCTCCAGTCGATTCTCTATCTTCTCTCCCTCACTGCCAATCGCTGTTGCTCACATAGGAGCAGATCTGTCAGTTGCTTCTTCTTTTTTGTTATGGTGGATCTGTGCGGTTGGGACGTCGATCTGTGTGCGGTGCGTGCAGATTTTTCTTTTTTTTTTTTGTTATGGTGGATTCGGCGGCGGTTTTTGGCGGATCCAGTGGTTGTGTGCGGTGATGGTGCAGTGTTTTGTGTGGTTGTTGGCAATGGTGTATCTGGTGGCAGAGGTGAGTTTGTGGTAGCGGTTGTTGGTGGTGATTTTGTTAATATAGATAGTGGTGGTACTTGTGGCGGTCGACGATGGTGGTGGTGGTG